ATTGGGATTTCATTCGATGTATTTAGCCAATGCATGTAATGTCAAGATTAAGCCGTTTTTTCGGTTAAATTTGTGACAGAATACATGTATTACCTTTTTCTGGGCCCACCCATAATCACTCAAAAATGAGTGATTATCAATCTCTACCAAAATGTGAGATTGTGATCAAGGGATTGTTTACCCTTTACTTTTTCATTTATAACAAAGCACATTGTAAACTTCCAAACAATGTATTTTTCAAATTCATACATTTAATCAATACATCAAATTACAATACACAAATTTATTAAATACTTCAATTTGGAGAATCGCAACCTCCAAACAACCCCTAAAAGTCTAAAACTAATGATTTGTAATGCAAATAAGGAGCCCAAGAAAGAAAGGGAGAGGAGAGGAGAGGAAGTGGTTGGTTTGATTTGTACCTCTCGTGTCCCTTTGCGTATTGTCACCATGCAAAGCGAAATGATGGTTTTATTCACCTTTTGAAGTATACTTTTATGGAGAAATTGGTGAGGTTTTGATGAGAGCACTTCGTTTGATTTGGAAGATAATCATAATTAACATGATAGTAGTAGCTAGTGGTCTAGTCCATAGGATGGATGATGGTTGATAATGATATAATCTCTTAAAAAGAAAGTTTGTGTAAGTAGTTTATTAATGTTGGTTCCCTCTATTCCGACTTTTGATATGTGTTCTCGAATGATAATGGTACATAAGTAATGAGATAAAAATGTTTTTTTTTAAAAACGATTTGGGGTTTTTAGGGATTGGTTCTCTTGACTGACTTATGAATTGTTATTCGATTAATTAGAATGGTTGAATGAAATCATGCTTTGCTCCATCACCCATCATATTAGAGATTTCCAGCATTTTCCACTATATGTTTGAGTGTTCAACTCGATCATCGGAAGGGTAGTGAAACCATTAGTGATTTGTTGAATTCCAACTCATATTATTTTTATGAAGTGATCATGTGTTAGAATATTCCTATGCGTTTATGTTACAGACTTACAGTGGTTCTTGCATGACTCTTTATAATCGGGAACATCATGCTCCATTTTGATTCTTCTTATCCTACAAAAGGGAATTAACATGTATCCAAATTACCATTTTTTTTACTAATCAAACACACAAATTTCAAGTTGGCTTTGATAGCAATATGATGGGATGTGAAACAATCCATCCACTACAATTAGGAATGTTATGTACACCACTTGTAGAATAGGAAGAGCTTTTCCAATGGCTTCTGTTCATAATCCATGTTTTACATTGACGTGCTTTAGAAATGATTGACAACCAAATCTCTCTCTTTTTCTTACCCTTGTCTCAAGTTGGATGGAGTAGTGTCATCTGGACGTGCATGCAAAGCTGTATACGCCTTTTGGCGTTGCTCATGTGTTGTTTTTCTTTTAAAACAATGCAAAATGGAAAGACAATTTCATATTGAAACTTAATTAAACACAATTCTTAGTCTAAACAACGTCAATTCGATTAAATTTTTCACAATCCTCGGTTGTAACTACCTATATATGTAGTGAAAAATGATGCCAAAATAAATTGAAAGGGGGAGAAAACAATGATATGGAAATTGAAAGAGCTAGGCTAAGTATAGTTCCAAGACCTTTGAAACAAAACCACATCAGACCGCACTGAACTGAATTGCATTAGTTCGTTACAGGTTTTTCATCTTTCCTGAATCTTTGAGAAATTGAAAGGTTTGTTGTTGAAAATGCAGGTGGCCTGTTAGCAGAATCTTCACTGGCAGGGCCCTGTGGTATGTGCAACATTTGTTTTCTGGTTGTTGGGTTTTTGATGGAGACAGTGTGCAACTGATTTGTAGCCCAAGTTTGCTATCTGGAAAAAAAGATTGAGAAAACCGAAGATATTACACAAATTATCAAGGAGATAGAGACACCAACTCTACAACTGCATTATGAACAACATAGAAAGCAAGGGTCAGATTTCCAGCAATCAGTTACCTCCCTGTGAAGTGCTCCGGCGAAAGCAAGCTCTTTGGATTGCCAACAGAAACTGCAGTCGCAAACTCCCAACCAAGGCAGATGTAGCATATCCAGTTCGAAGTTTCGACACTCCAAGTACATGCTCCCATTATTTAGATGTTCCAAGTACTTGAGCATGTACATGTAACATGTGCCAGGCTTGATAACTACATTTAGTGAAAACACCAGATGAGCTGATTTTACACAAACAAAGGCAATGCAAATGTGAGGAACATACCTTATGTACAAACAATCTCCAATGAACTGTCCTTACACCATCTCACAACTGCAACACTGAGTGCGAAGACCAACAGTTTTCTGCCTGCACAAATGGATATTTCACCTTGTAATAGGGAGTAGGAAACACAATAAGCATACACAGGGTTAACTGCGGACTACAGACAGTTAAAAGTTCAAATATCCTCCCAAACTCTCCGAAAGGGATTAGTAGCATAAGCTTTATAAGTCGGAACATCTAAACAACTTCCTCTCCTCTAAACCCGTTTGACATTAAGCACACATTTCTTTAGCTTTCCTCGGCAACTCTTTATCACAAGTGAGCTTGAGGGAGAGAAAATTGAGGGATCTTAATAAACTCTGACAATGCTAACTTCTAGTTATGGCAGTGGATGTACTAACAAACCAGCAGTAACCATATGAACAACTTATATTAGCAAATTCGCAGTAACAATAACTTGCAAACTAGTGTGAAAAGATTCACAGTTCAGATAAAACAAAGCATCAATAATTGAAAACGTGAACCATGTGAAGGATCCCACTGACCTACATAGGTGGCAAATCTTCCCATCGATCAAATCATAAAGTCGTCTCCCGTCTTCAATGGATTGACACCACTTTGCACACTCAGCTTCATGCCATGTGCGTAGAAAAACTATAACGAAGATCTTCGTTATCCATACAAACCTATTACCCCCCCCCCCCCTTTCCATCTCTTTCTACTAAGGAAACATGGTTGCATGAAGTTCAAACCCAACTATGTTTTCATCCCCGGTCAACCTCAATCATGCTACATCCAGCTTCTTTAACCCTCTTTTCTTGCTTTCCTATTGACTTATTATACCTAAACTTGGTATCTATCCGCTCATCTGTTGTTACCTGCAAGCTCCTAAGATCTCCCAACCTTCCAGCTATGGCATAAGTACCTGATAGAAGCATTGAATCAGTCGGATGTTGATCATCCATTTCAACCAATACTCTGTTCACACGTTCCCCTAACTCAGTATCTCCATACACTCTGCAGGCTGCAAGTAATGCACGCCAAGCAGTGGCATCTCTCTTGATTGGTGGCAGCCTTTCGATCAAGCCTTGTGCTTCCTTCAACAATCCCAAACGACCCAAGAGATCAATAATGCAACCGTAGTGCTCAACTTTGGGTAAAAGACCATATCGTTCAACCATCCTCCGAAAGCATTCCATTGCTTCTTTCACCATCCCGCCATGACTACAAGCGCTTAGTACAGCCAAGAAAGTGACCTCATTTGGCCTGTATCCTTCATCCTCCATTCTGTACATGAGAGCAACAGCATTGCTCGACTGCCCATGAACTCCATAACCTAAGATCATGGCAGTCCAGGACTTGACATCTTTGCTCTGCATTCGCTGGAAGATGTCGACGGCTTTGTCTAGAAACCCAGACTTGGCGAACATATCGATCAAAGCTGTACCGAGAACTGCATCCAGCTTCATTGCCTCTAGTTCGACAAAGCTACTTAAGTACCGGCCAAGTTTGATAGATCCGGTGGAAGCACAGGCTGAGAGTAGACTTGCCAAAGTGGAGGAATTTGGATTGACTCGTTCACTTTTCATCAGCTTTAGCAGAGCTATCCCTTCATCTAGCAGCCCAGCTTTTGCATATTTATCTATCATGCAGTTCCACAGGACAACGTCTCTAGACATGGTCTCATCAAAAAGCCTACGTCCTGATTCTATACTACCTGTTTTTGCATACATGTCAATAAGAGCAGTCACAACGTTCTTATTAGAATGGAAGCCGACCTTTATCCAAAGGCCATGAATGGACTCGCCTCCACGTGAATCCTCTAATTCGCCGAGAGCCGACAGAACGGACAACAATGAGGTCTCGCTGACTCCCTGGCCACACCTGACCCCCTCCCTGAACAATTTCAACGCCATATCTGGTTGAGAAGCTTGCATATAAGCAGCCATCATTGTGTTACACGTTACAAGATCATTCTCCTCTGGCATTTCATCAAACAACTTGTGGGCGTGTCCGATTTCCCCACAAACACCATAGTAGTGCAAAAGTGCATTCTTAACTTCCACAAACAATAAATGCCCAGATCTCAACACAAGTCCATGTATCGCCTGCCCGTTTTCCTCAGCCAATTCGCGCGCGCATGCTTTAAGGGTCGTGATGAAGGAGAACTGATCGAGCAAGAAGCTTCGAGCCCTCAAGTTATTGAAAACACCAAAGGCCTTCCAGGGTGTTCCGCTAATGGAATAGGCTCTAAGCATAGTGTTGAACATGAACAGATTTGGGTCTCGGAAATTCTCGAATATGGAGGCCGCATATTGCGTGTCTTGTATTGACGAAGCGAGAAGCTTGCTGACGGAGAAAGGGTCGTGTTGCAGACCATTCGTGACCATAAAGCCATGAACTTGGGCGATTTGGGAAGCCCGATTGCAGGATTGCAGGAGGGAAGCGAGATCGCAGGAGAGGGAGACGATCGAATTCCGCTTTGGGTTATGGTGCTTCAACCGGCCCTCGACCTTTGAAGTCAAGCGCAAAGCATGACGCATCTTCAGGAGAAAAAAGGAAAGGTAGGGCCTTTGGCGGAAAGGCGGGATTTTTAGGATGAGCAATAGAGGTTTGGTTTTCTTTTGGTAAACCGGTCTACCGTTTGGCCCGGCATGGAGGTTGAACCAGTAACTCCGGTTCCGGTTTCTTTCGGCTCAACATCTTTGCACTAGGGGTGGGCGTTCGGTCGGTTCGGTTTGAACCGAACCGAACTAGTACATGCCGATTTTCCGAAATTAGCAATACTCCAACCGAATTCGAACCGAGCTATATTTCGGTTCGGTTTGTCCGAACCGAAATATAACTCGGTTCGGTTCGGATTTTCCACCAAACCCGAATTTATGGAAGACTTCCCCTTATCTCCCTCTCTCCCCACAGATTTATCTCTCTCTCTCTCTCTCTCTCTCTCGTCTCTCCATCTCCCCACACTAACAATCTGTTCCCCATATTTTCCCTCAATCAATCTCTCTCTCTCATCTCTCCTCTATATCCCCAAAATCTACTCCCCTGATTTTCTCTCGATCAATCTCTCTCATCTATCTCCCACTAAGAAATAGAATATGCTCCCCAGATCAATCCTTCCCTCAATCTTTCTCTCTCTCTACTCCGGCCGCAAACTCGGCGGCAACGACGATTTACTGAGTGAACAAGGCAGCTGCAACGACAACCACGATGGCTATTGATGCAGTGAACAGCGCGGCGCGGCAGCGGTAGACGGCGATGAAGATCCTTGCACCTCCCTCAATGGCTCAATCTACCTTCTCTTCCTCTCGATCTATTCCTTTTCTATTTTGATGCATGTGGGTTTTTATGTTTTATTTTCGATCTTTGACAGGCACTGGGTGAGGAGAAGAGAACGGGGAGGAGTGTTTGATGGAGTGAGGGAGTGGACGGCGGCGGGCAGGGGGCGGCGGCGGGAAGAAGGGCGGTGGTGGGATGTGGAGCGGTGACGGTGGATGGGAGCCGAGAGGGTTGGGGTCGTCTCTTTTTTATTAGGGTTAGCTGTTAGCTTAGTGGTGAGGGATGGGCTGAGGAATGGGTGAGAATATGGGCCAAGGCCCAGTTTTAGTTGGGATGCGGTATGAATATGTGGGCTGTCTGTATTGATTCGGTTTTTCGGTTCGGCAATCGGAATTTCGGGTTCGGTTGAGAGACCCTGCTTTCCGAAATATGGTTATTGTGGTTCCGAATTCCGAACCGAATATTATTATTTCGGTTTCGGTTCGGTTTGAAATCGGTTCGGCTCGGTTCGGTTCGGGTTTACCGAACCGAGTGCCCACCCCTACTTTGCACCAATCCCATAAGAGCAAACCTAGAATGTTGATAAAACATTAAAACTAGAACTAACAATGTCTTCAAACTACATTACATCTTCTACCACAATGCCAAAACAGATTCCTAATAACCCATATCATACAGGCTAGTGCTTTGATAGTTCAGGAAGTAACACTTCTACAATCCGCTTCACAAAATAAAGACACAAGACCATCCCCTACCCAAAAAAATCTTCATCTTGTTCTGTGTCTTCTTCTCCATGAACTAGATCATTTAAGCACCTAATCTGCGCCTTTGAAGCAGCCTTGCACCGATGCTATCGGGACTTGGTGCAGCAGCTTGGTTAATAGTGATGCCACCAGAAGGTCCTAATCCGCTCCTTCGACGAAGCCTTCCACCAATGCTGTTGGGGCTCGGTGCAGCAGCTTGGTCCATCATGGTGCCACCAGAAGCTTTACCCTCCATCACCATTGTTATTTCAACCTCATAGTGATCATCACTTACATCGAGTCTCCTGCTTGGCCTCCTCTGCCCCGCCTCCAAGTCTGTAACCATTTCATCTTTCTCTTCTTCATATTTGAGTTTGTTTTCAATCCTCCCTTCACTTTTAGGAGGAGTTGCTGATATAAATTTTGAATAGTCACAATCTACTTCACCCTCCATCCACACCAATCTCTTTATCTCGCTATTCAATACTGGAGTTTCGCTGCCTGGTTTGAGTTCTTCAGAATGAGGTTGCTTAGCTGGTGTATCTTGTTGATGCTCGATTTCACAAGGTTCCTCTGGTGCTGCTTCTTCGGTATCTGAAAATGCAATTGACCTTTTAGCAGACTCTTCACTTAGAGGAGCTGAGCTTGTATTGGCAACAACATTGGTTTCTGGACGTTGAGCCTGCATGAGGTAGTGTGCAACTGACTTGTACCCCAAGCTTGATATCTGGAAGCACCAAAAACAAAGGAAAACAAAGATATAATAAAAGGCACAAACTTCACCCCTGTACTCCAATAGCATAAAAATGCCAGATTTCAACATTCACTTACCTTTCTGTACATAATTCCAGTGGGAGCAAACCCTTTTGCTTGTCGACAAAAGCTGCAGTTGCAAATCCCGCGGCAGACTGGGCATATCCAGTTCGGATCTTCCAAGGCTTCAAGTACATGCTCACCATACCTAGTGGAATAACAGAGGGAAAAATTAAGTGCTGAATTGAAATAGGATTTCCCCAGTTCTCAGCTATCAATGTTTAGCTTAATGCTAGCAAGTTTCAGAACAAGTTGATCCAAGTATATTAAACCCACAACCAGCAAGTGTTTCACTTAGGTTCGTTAGTTAAACGTCAGCCGAAACGACCAACACTGCAAGCGCTAATGTACAGGAAACAAAAGTAAGTAATGAGAAAAAAAAACATACCTCATGTACAAACAATCTCCACAAAACTGCCCTTGCACCCTTTGGCAACTGCTACAGTGAGTGCGATGGCCAAGAGTTTTCTGCCTGCATAAATGACAATTTCATCTTGTAATAGCATGTAGGAAATGCTATAACCATCTAAAGAGAGTAACACAGACGCAGACATTTAAACTGTCAAAGACTGGAATCACCTTCCAGCCTCCGCAAAGTGAGTTAATAGCATTAGGTTTCTAAGTGGCAACAACTCAAAATAAAGTAACTTGGTCTCCTCTAAACAATTGCAACATGAAGTACACGTTTTTTGTAGATTTTCCTCAATCCACGTAACTAGAATCGAGCTTGCAGAAGAGAAAATCGTGGGAAGAAACTGGTATTAAGGTACCACTGCTTACCACATCAACAATCTAGATACCGATAACTTCCCTGAAGCGAAGGCAGTTACAAAATCAACTTGCAAAATAGTAGAACCTTTCACAGCACAGATTTCACACACAATGAAGCATCGCTCGTTACAGAACAGAGAAGCGATGGGGAACACTAACCTGCACTGGTGGCAAGTCTTGCCATTGATGGGATCATAAATTCTTCTCCCATCCTTCCCATATCCATCCACGAAAAGTGTCCAGGTCCTCTCGGTGCCTCCCAGCCTCTTAACCTGATCTTCAGTGTAAACCTCCGGCTTGCTACCCCCAGCTCTGCGATTCGCACCTTCATCGTCATCCAGCACATCCCTTTTTGACTTCCTCCCTTCTGAATAGCTAGGGGGCTGTACATTTTGCAGCCTAATTCAACACCAAGTAAATTTCATCAAAAATCAACCCACCAGGTTACCAGCATTTCCTTTAACCAAAATCTCCCAAGTCACACAAAACCCTAACCCCTCCCATTTCCAGATTCTCATGCCAATCCGTGTCCATGCAAGAGAAACAACAATAAAAGAAGCAGCAAGCAAGCAAGATTTTCACAATGCAAAATTAAACCATATACTCAACTCGAATTGATCTCCTTTAGCAGATTTTTTTCACCCAACACAAAGAATCAGCAGCACGGAATGAAAACCCACAAGGGAAAAAAAAGAAGAAAAGGGGCTGAAATTTAATTGACCTAGACGAGCGGCGGCGTGGGGAAGAAAGCTCGGGCCTCTCGGAGAACTTAGTGTAGCTTTTGCGCTGCTGCTTGGGTTTGGTCCGGGAAAGAGGATTGAGGTTCAGAGAGAGCTCCTTGAGGCCCAGCTTCTGCATCCTCTCCAAGTTGGCTCTGATTCTCTCTTCTCTCGTCTGTTCGTAGACAGAAATCTTGGGCGCCTGAACGCCAATGTTCCCGTCGATTGGTGGTGGGTCCCGTCCCGGTGATCGGCTGTCCAGAGTCGCCATTTTCGTTTCTTTACTTTGTTCTGAGTTCAACTCTCTCACAATCGGCTTCTTTGACGGCCGTCCTGTTCAGAGCGAGCAGCGGTGAGTGGGCGAGTGAGAGTGAGAGTGAGAGTGAGAGAGAGGGAAGAGGTGGAGTCTCAACGGTCGACTTTTCGTGGTTTTTTTATGGCAGAAGTGACTATTGAGGTGATAGTGGTGAGAGAGGGAGAAGAAAAAAGGAAAGTTGAAAAGTCTAAGGGGATTAATCGGGGATTAAAATGGGATTTATAGCCTTTTTAACAATTTAATTTGGGGTAATATTTTTGTGGCCTAATATCAAAAAGTGGTAATTTAATAATTTATGATAGATTTAACGGTCAACTAAATGGTGGAGTGGTCAATTCTTTTCTGATTTTGTGTCAATATAGTATCACCTAATTGACAATATTGAAAATTTTCTTATATATGTTTTAGGATTTTTTACCACTCACTTAAATTAAAATTTTATTTTAATAAAAATTATCCCCGATAAATGGGTGTGCATTATTCATCAAATACAATCAGCAACAAGAATCCCAAAGATGACACTCAAAATCCTTTATACAAGACAAGTCCTAATCCTTACTTCAGTGTAAGCATATTCGAGAAGTGTTGTGATTTAGAATCTTCGCTAAGTGAGCGAGAAATTTTAATAATCGTTATCCAAAAGATTTATTGAGGTTATATACAAAATTGTAATACTCTCCATATCTATGTCTCATGTTTTCAACGTCACACATAAAATTAGTGTATTTTGAGTTCTAATCTCATCCATAATTCATCATGAATCTGTACGATTTTTCATTCACATCACAGCAATCGTTGAACTCAAAGAAACTTAAAGTGTGAACTCGAGCTCCAACTATTAAAAATGATTAAGAACGAATTAAATAAATAATGAATTAAACTTGTGATTTCTTGAAGAACTAAACAATTCGACTGCTACATCTGCCCATTAGTGATGCTACGAGATAGTGCCATGCTCATGAATTCTTGACTATTACTTTTTGTGTAGAGACTCTGAATTGGCCATCAAGGATGCTACATCGAGGAAACCTTCTCATTTCAGAGCGGGTGTCATACCAAAGGAAGTTCATTCTCTTCCATCCTCCTTTGTCTCAATCTCCGAGTCTTCTTGCTCCGTCGAATTTTAACATAGATGTTCACCTCATAGCAAAACAAACTCTTTTATCGAAAATTCGATTGAATACGGACTACCATTCTTATTGTCCAGCCGAACTTTTATCTCATAAAAAGCACACACTCCTCTTCCAATTTTACACGTCCAAAACAAACAACCACCTACTTCCTCCTCCTCCCAAACAAAATCCTTCCCCAAATGGATTTCCCACCATAATTAATGAGACCACTCAAGATCCCAATTCCCATGCATAATCCAACTTGAGTGTACCACAAGACAAAAACATCATCAACCACAACAACAAGTCTTCAACAATAAACTTAATCGTTTCATCCTCCCACAAAAAGTCTCATCACAGGTTGAGAAAAATGTACACTAACGAGTTTGATGATCTACCCACATGCCCCATATTACAGAAAATCCAACTCCAAACTCTCAACCTCCCCTGTTTTTCTCCTTCTTTTTTCCACACTACCAGGAGGAAGAAAAAACCCAAAACCCACCTCCATAAAACAGCTCCTCTGGTCACGCCAACTTGCAACTTCACCAGCAGAAACTTCACAAGTTAGCTCTCCTCCTGTCACGAGAGCGTGGCAAAAACCCATTGAATTTTAAGCTTTCTTCCCCTGCATTAAATACTCTGCCCCATCTTCGTTTCCACAATTATAGATTAGCTGCTGCGGCTGGGAGAGAAAGAGAAAAAAAAGGAAAGAACCCAAAATCATGGGTCTGTTGGCTTTACTTGTTGCGGTGATCATCATCAATTTGAGCAGCTCAGCTCTCGGCGACGATGCTGCAAATGGCGGCGCTTCCTTCGTCTTCGGGGATTCGTTGGTTGATGCTGGCAACAACAATTTCTTCTCCACTCTGTCCAAGGCCAACATTCGGCCCAACGGGATCGATTTCACGGCGTCGGGCGGGAGTCCCACCGGGAGATACACCAACGGGAAAACCATCAGTGACATCGTCGGTAAGCTAATCAAACTGCATTAGTACGATATTGTCCGCGTATTGATTAGGTTCTCTTATGATTCCGTTGAATTGTATCATAAGTTCCGGTACCACTTGTTGTAACCCAGTGACGGAGTCAGAAATCTGAACAATGAGCTGACTTAATTGCCGTAATTGGAATAGGAGGGGCTAAAGCCTTACAGACTATTCAAATTCCTAACTTCAACCTAGGTTTGCCACAACTGAAATCTAAGTGCTCCACTAGTAGAATATTGTCCATTTGAGGTCAAGTACTGTTAGCGAACTAACCACTTGGTCCCAATAACTCGAGTTGTTGGGAAAGGGATAGTTAAGCCTTTTAACCTCTAATACGCCCCCTCAAACGAAAGCCGATGCCGAATTGTGGATTTTTACGGTTTGCACAGGTTGAACCCTTGTGCTGCCAAACCACGAGGCTTTAGTTTGCACAGGTTGGACATACCATTCCTTGTGCTAAACGAATTGGCATGAAATGGGGGTCGTTATGAGGATTCGAAACCATGACCTTTCGGTTCTAGGCTCTGATACCATGTTAGCGAACTAATTACTTGGTCCCAATAACTCGAGTTGTTGGAAAATGGATAGTTAAACCTTTTAACCTCTAATAAGTACAAAACCAATTTACTTTTGGATATCTTTTCCAATCTCGTACTAATGAGCTCGGAGAATACTTACGATACAAATCACAAGTGTCGTTTCTCTTAAACTTTCGAACGTGGTACTTGGATTGTCCGATGATAATATATGTTATCTCTGGCCTGATCAATTTCTGCAGGTGAAGAACTCGGGCAGTTGAACTACGCGCTGCCGTTCCTATCACCCAACACCACCGGAAAGGCGCTCCTTTCCGGGGTCAACTACGCCTCCGGCGGCGGAGGGATCATGAACGCCACCGGAAGAATCTTCGTCAACAGGCTGGGCATGGACGTGCAAATCGACTACTTCAACATCACGAGGAAGCAGCTCGACCAGCTTCTGGGACCATCCAGGGCCAGAGAATTCCTCACCAAGAGCTCCATCTTCTCCATCACCGTCGGCGCCAACGATTTTCTCAACAACTACCTCCTCCCCGTCCTCTCCGTCGGCGCCAGGGTTTCTCAGAGCCCCGATGCCTTCATCGACGACATGATCTCACATCTGCGAGCTCAACTCACGGTAAAAGATCGATTTGCCAGTGAAGAGTTGGTTAATTACAAAATGGTACCTTTAGTTTTCTGGATTTGAAGTTTTGATTCCCCTGTTTTTTTTTTGGCCGTCGGTGGCAGAGGCTTTACCAAATGGATGCTCGGAAGTTTGTGATCGGGAACGTGGGGCCGATTGGGTGTATTCCGTACCAGAAGACGATAAACCGGTTGAAGGAGAACGAATGTGTGGATTTGCCCAACAAGCTTGCGCTTCAGTACAATGGCAGGCTGAAGGATTTGCTGGCGGAGATGAATGACAATATGCCCGACGCCGTGTTTGTTCACGCTAATGTCTATGATTTGGTCATGGAGCTCATCAGCAATTATGCCAAATACGGTACGCATATACGGCAAGTTATACTTTGTTTTTTTGTATGTAAAATTGTTCGACGGGTCACCTGAGTTTCACGTTGGATCCGTTTTGGTCATCGAAACAAATTTCTTTTTGTCGTTTTTGTGAAAATTAGTGATTGCTGTAGTGATCGTGATGCTCTAACCATATGAAATGGTTTATAAATGGAACACAAAAATTTCTATTGTGGGAAGGCTGAAGATCATTGTTGAAATGAACAAGCACTAATTCGAAACTCTGTAAGAATTTTTTTGAAGTTTCATGGATCTCGTATAAAGCAGGTGCTCATACCTCATAAGGTCTGAGTTCATGGTAGTTTTTCCTTCTAATGCTATCATGAACTCAAACCTTTTGAAGTGCTGGGAGAGCTGCTTGGTGCGGAAGTCATGATGAACTCGAACGTCATCATGACGAGAAAAGAAACCCCGTTACCCCCTATCTCCGATGAGACTTCAAACTTCAAAGATATATGCAATCTATCACACAACACCAACTTTGACTTTCTTAATGGTCTCGCTTAATGATTCGCGCATTTGATCGATGTGAAAGACTAATGATTTATTTTGATTTTTTCGCAATTTCTTAAGGATTTACGACTTCGAGCAGGGCTTGTTGTGGAAACGGAGGACAATTCGCAGGAATAGTACCGTGTGGACCAACATCGAGTATGTGCGGGGATCGTTCGAAGCATGTGTTCTGGGATCCATACCATCCCAGCGAGGCTGCCAACGTGATCATCGCAAAACAGCTGTTGGATGGAGACACCAAGTACATCTCTCCCATGAACCTTAGGCAGCTGAGAAAACATTGACGAATTTGCAGGAAGGAAGAAGAAATTGTTTTGGGTTTTTAATTTGTGTGTGTGAAAGTGAAATTCGTGGTGCATGCATGATGCATGCATGGGTGTTTTAGTTTCACAAATGGAATTTGTATTTTTTTACTTTTATGTTTTATGTTTCTTTTTCGCCTGTTTGAGCAGCAACAGAGTTATTGTTGACGTGTCCAAGAGGAGGGTTTTGCTCTGTTCGTCATGTTTTAAGGGATATGATAAAATACAAAATTCAGAACTACAAAATTCGTGTCTTATTGTCCATTAGATACGAATTATATCTGAGATGGGTTAGACATGAATTTTATAGCTCTGAGTTGTATATCATAACCCATGCCATATTTTAATGGAAGTTAATGAAAAGAACGTTCCTATCCACTCTCTTTAATAAGGATTGATACTTTGGTTAGTAATTGTTTAATTATTATTATTATTATTTTTGTTTAGGATTCCTAATCATTAGTGTTGTTCGGTTTTAATTTTTGTTTGAAATTCTTTATCAAACCTGCACCGGACTCAATAAGTCAATCTCAAAGTGGGTTTTCCCTGCACCCAACCTGAAATATCTATCAATTAACTTCAAGTCTTACTCGACTTAACTAGATCGAAAAGAGTTGGGTATCCATGAATCCGTTATGCAAAAAGTTGCTTGAGAGATTCGAACGTGGGACCTTTAGGTTCAAGAGCAATATGTGGTAAAAGACAAGTTGTTTGTTGGTCCAGACCCTTATTCGCAAGAACGGATCCCGTTGACCGAAATTCATGACTTATAAGTGACACACAGGTTAAAAGAAAGTTGTCTGCTGAAAGAATTTTTTGATAATATACGTGAAACCCATAGATGCTGATCATATACCCACCTACTGAATGGAAAAAATCCCAAAGTACACTAGTTTTTAAAAAAATTTCCCAAAATACATAAGTTATAAAAAAAATTCCAAAAGTACACATGTTTGAGCATCACCGTTTTAGACAAAAACGGTGAAGGTCATCACCGCTTTTGACCAAGACGGTGAATACTTCACCGTTTCAAACTAAAACGGTGAAGGGTTCACCGCGTTTGTTAAGAACGGTGAATACTTCACCGTTTTAAACAAAAACGGTGAAGCCTTCATTTGAATTCCAAGTATTTTGATAACTCTAAATGGTTCTCCTCGTCGATACGATCGCGCTGCCGAAAACGGCTCGTCATTTCGACCTCAAACGAATAAGATACGCGCGTTTTAGTTTTTAGTACGCAAAAGTTACTTTAACGACATGTGCAGCTTTGAACTCACTTATCTCACTCGTTTGGACTCGGAATTGAGATCTGTAAAATTCTATGTGATCGTGGTTGATTTTCCCAACCTTTTTGTGTTGAGGGAAGATAATGATTCCTGATAAAATGATCCAGAATATTCATTCGACAACTTAAGTGCGTAGGATAGTTTTTAGACAATGCAAACTCAAATAACAACACCTAAAAATCACAAAAACAACATTGATAGTTCACTACAATGATAAAATGATAAATTCACTCATTTGCTTCATTTTGGCCCCTATCTCCACCTCTTCCTCCTCGTCCTCCACGACGTCCTCGACCCCTTCTTCCCCCCTCCGCCACTGCTTCTTGGCGGGCTCGCTCAACGGCTGGTCGCGGATTTCTCTTGACCCGAGCCCCAACTGGGGTTACATATGGTGGTGGTGGTGGCTGAGTTGGACCGGTAGCTTGACGAATGATCGGGGGGTTCGGAGTTTGTTTTTGCGGATGTTGGAATTGAGAGAACCCATGATGTTGTTACATATGGTTCTCTCAATTCCAACATCCGCAACAACAAACTCGTGGAGGACGAGGAGGAAGAGGTGGAGATGGGGGCCAAAATGAAGCAAATGAGTGAATTTATCGTTTTATCATTGTAGTGAACTATCAATGTTGTTTTTGTGATTTTTAGGTGTTGTTATTTGAGTTTGCATGGTCTAAAAACTATCCTACGCACTTAAGTTGTCGAATGAATATTCTGGACCATTTTATCAAGAATCATTATCTTCCCTCAACACAAAAAAGTTGGGAAAATCAACCACGATCACATAGAATTTTACAGATCTCAATTCCGAGTCCAAACGAGTGAGATAAGTGAGTTCAAAGCTGCACATGTCGTTAAAGTAACTTTTGCGTAATAAAAACTAAAACACGCGTATCTTATTCGTTTGAGGTCGAAATAACGAGCCGTTTTCGGCAGCGCGATCGTATCGACGAGGAGAACCATTTAGAGTTATCAAAATACTTGGAATTCAAATGAAGACTTCACCGTTTTTGTTTAAAACGGTGAAGTATTCACCGTTCTTAACAAACGCGGTGAACCCTTCACCGTTTTAGTTTGAAACGGTGAAGTATTCACCGTCTTGGTCAAAAGCGGTGATGACCTTCACCGTTTTTGTCTAAAACGGTGATGCTCAAACATGTGTACTTTTGGAATTTTTTTTATAACTTATGTATTTTGGGAATTTTTTTTAAAAACTAGTGTACTTTGGGATTTTTTCCCCTACTGAATTGGGTTGGATTTTCTCTTATGTAGACGGTGGATATTTTACGCGAATTTTTTTACAGGTACACCTACTGAATTGGATTTAGAGTTCGAAAAACATTATTCAACTCAACTGATTGCCGTCCCTAGTTGCACGTTAATCACCTAAAAGATAGGGGTGGCAACGGGACGGGACGGGATACCCGTCCCGTTTGAAACGGGTACCCAATCCCGTACGGATAACGGGTACCCATTACCCGTACGGGACGGATAACGGATACCCATAATACCCATAAATACCCGTCCAAAATTCCATCGAATCCCTTCTTTGCCTATCTCCCATTATCATCCTAGAAACAACGAAACCATTTCTTGTGCACACCAACCATAATAACAGCAACGACAAAAAAAAAAAGAAGCTAAGAACAAATACGAAACAAGAATCAATATGATGAAGGTGAAGTGATGCTGCCACCAAGTGAAGCCGCCACCAAAAATTAAATAAACAAGAATTAATTCGTTCCTTTTTCTGCTGATTCTTTTTAGTTAGTGTGTTCCAGTTTGGTTCAATTTTGTTGAGCCAATTGGCTGCTTCTTTCTTTTTCTGTGACTAACTCTGTTTCTTTTTTTGTAATATATATTTTTCACCATTATCAAAATAAAATAATCTTGTACTAATTTTGGACTAACGGGTATAACGGGTACCCGTAATACCCAAACGGGTATTGACGGGTAACCCGCGGGTACCCAAAGTAGTGATTCTTGATCCCAAGTCCCATCCGTAAAAAAAAAATTACGGATATTTGAGTACCCGTAACCCTCAAAAAACGAGACGGGTACGGGTATACCCAAATACCCGTTTCCTGTTGCCCACCCCTACTAAAAGACCCCCCTCAGCCTCATTCTCATAGTAAAGGTTCATTAGCATAGTGTAGAGCATGAACATGGAAAGTTGGATGGATGGATGGATGGATGGGGAGTGGGAGATGAAAGTGACGCATGAGAGATTCCCCAATAGGCAGGCAGGCAGGCAAGAGCAATAGAGGCAGCTGCAGGCAGAGTAGTGTTTTGTTTGTAATTTTGTAGCTTGTTTGGAAGCTGCGCGTGCCCTCTGCCGCGAATCCTCCCTCCGTCGCTTCCTTCCTAGCAAGCTTCTTTCTCTTATCACCTCTGCCAGGCTGCAGATGATCCCAGTCCATTGCCAAACAGATAGTACAATTCCTACTTACCACCAGTCTATCGTTTATCGCCAAACCCCAAAATAAGAAAAAGAAGGAACAGAGGAAGGGCTCAGCTGCTTCGCTTCCTTTCCTTTCCTTACTTACCTTCGTCTGAATTACTGCTGCAACTGCAGGGCGTAGCAGCGGTTCCCTGACCCTCTGTGTTTTTGTTTGGATAGCCTGTCTCCCCAAGGCCCAATTCCATTTCTTTTTTGTCGTCCCAATTGGACTTTTTTTTTGACCCAATGTTCTTATTCCCCTTCCTCTCCTCTTCTTCTTCTTCTCCATTCCATGCCAAGTTGCCCTCTTCTTTGCTTTTTTTCTCCTGGTGCCTTTCTGGTTCTCACTCATATGGATCATTTGGTGTCTTTTGGCCTTTGCTTGATCAATCACCTTCCAATAATTGGAGCAACAGAGTGAACTAATTGCAGAACCTATTAGCTATACCTATATAGCATGTATAGCTACTACTATATTACAACTTTTTTTCCACTCCTATATGTTCATATATTCTCCTCTAGTCCTCTCTATGCTTTGAAATATTCCTGCATGTACCCATAGTTTTATAGAAGACAAAACCAAAAAAAAAAGGGGGAATGGAAAATAAGTTTCGTGGATCATCAATTATTGGTCGAAAAGTCTCGCTACGATGTTAATGTCGTTGGTATTAGAGTATGGGTAGCACGAGTAGTATTATGTTGTGCTATGAGTACTGTTATGTTAATTGAGAGAATCTGTTAGTGTTGTGTTATATGATTCACGACTGAACCTCTCCCAACAACTCGAGTTATCGGGATCAACTGGTTCTTGACATGGTATCGGAGCCTTCTGTGACCGAAAGGATAATCTAGTTTGAAAATGTTGGCGAGAGAGAACAAAGAGAGGGACTGACGAGAGAGAGAGAGATGAGACAAAGGGAGAAGGAAATTGCAGTAAGCAGCAGGGCATGGGAACAAACAAAGCAGATCAGATCAGATCAAATCAATCTTTGACTACTCCAATACCACCAAAACCCAGCGACTGTTCCCCTCTTTGAGTTTCGATTTTGTTGGGAGGAGGAGGAGGTGGCGGAGATGCGACCGTTGGATGGGAAGGGAGAAGATCCAACGGCGGCGATGCGGCGGGGGGAATAAGGGAAACAGTCGGTGTCGGGTAGTGGGAACAGTTTAGCGCGAAATCCGGAAAAAAAAGGGAATCGCACGGCGGCAGAGTCGATAGAGAGGGGTACGGACGGCGGGAGAGAATCTGATGCGGATGCGGGACACGACGGCGACGCGTCTCCCCCAAATCAGCAGCCTGCAATTTGGCATTTTTTAAAAAAAAAATTTATTCCGAGAAGAAACAAAAAGAAAAGGGAATGGGGAAGGAAGGAAGAATGAGAGAAAAAGAGAGGGGTGGTCTTCTTCCATTATTGGCTGGCTCCCCACGCTGCTCCGACATCCATCATTCTGTCCCCCGCACTAGCTCCTCTTTCTCTTTCTCTCTAGTCTCAGAAAGCAATTAGGTTTCTTGGATTGCGGCTAATACCCTA